GAGCTGCCGCCTGGATTGCTCAGTGGATAGAGCATGTGCTCTTAAATACAAGGCTGCCGGTTGGACTCCCGCATGGGATGATGGCTACGTCCACCCACAACTAAGACTGTAACACAGCACCTTGAGCTTATAGTCCATGAGCTGCCAAGAGGCAGCGAGATGGTGACTGGCACCCTCCACAACGAAGATTGAGGAACAACAACTTGGCTGGTTCCCTTCCCCAACTCCCCAACACTGTTCCCTACCCCAATTTCCCAATTTAAAAAGCCAAAAAACTTTCTAACAATTTGAGGTATTCACAAATGCAACAAATTGATTTGTGAGTAATCGTTATTCTCCCAAACTTCAAAGAACAGAAGAGGATTTACGTATTTCTATCGTATGTGTGTGGATGAATGACAGAATGTTATGTAGAGATGGACAGGATGTTTCTTAGCCACAGACTACCTTAAAACTGATTAATATGTGTGTTTATATTGGGGGAGTGGTATCCAGAAGCTATTTTCAATATTCCAAAGGCTAAGGGGAAAACAAATTTGTCACAACAAATCTTCACAGCTTTAAAAACATCACAATATTTTGCTTTTGGCCAGACTTACCAGTTGGAGACGCTGGTCATCATGGGGACACAAGCCCCAGCTGGCTTATAGTTCTGTATTGCCTTTGATTTTTGTAAAACTTTAAAAACCAGCTATTGTACTAACTCCAATTTGTTTGGATGGGGAAGGATTTCAAAAAATTGAGTCTATACAAAACACATAGTAAACGGATTTTGTTTTATCATTAACTGAATTAATTTCATTCTAGACATTATTTCATAGCTTTTCTCCCCAGCATTTTTGGCAGATAAGGATGCATTTTATAATATGGTGTGTTATATTAAATTGCAGTGGGTTATTTTTTTTGAATTTTTTAAAATTAAATTTATTGGGGTGGCAATGGTTAGTAAAATTACATAGGTTGCAAGTATACAATTCTATAATACATCATCTATATATCACATTGTGTGCTCACCACCTAGAGTCAGTTCTCCTTCTATCACCATATATCTGGCCCCATTTACCCTCTTCTGTGTCCTCTGGTAACCACTAAATTATTGTCTGTGTCTATGAGTTTTTGTTTTTTTAATCTTTCCAAGTGATTAATAAAATAAAGATGCAGTTTATTATCCATTGTGTTTCAATGGTGAGAGAAATGTGATCACTTGATTCAGAGTGGCTGAGAGTTTGTATGGAAGAGGTGTCAGGACTGATTGAATCAAGATCCTATGTTATCTAGGATCTATGCAGCTCCCTAATTTCACTGAGACTCAGTTTTCTCATCTGTAAAATGAGGATGGTGATAATAATATCTACTTCATAGATAGCTTGTGAAAAATTGAATGAGGTCATGCTTGCAGTGTGTTAAACTTTTCTTCTTATTAGATCTGTCCCAAATTATCGATGCCAGAAGAGTTAATGCTTCTACTAAATTTCCAAAATTACCAGTGAAAAAAAAAATTTCTGAAAATCTTAGAAGATCTGACAATATTTTATCTTATTATGCAAATAATTTTGACCTCCAGAAATTATTTATTTTGCTTCAGTAGCCTCATTTCTTCTGTACTGCTAACTAAACACGTTATACCATTTTGTGCAACAATTTATAATGAACCTTAAAAGAACTACTGATTATTTTAGAGTTTTTGGCTCAATTACCTGTTTCAAATACTCAATGACTAAGGAAAGCATGTCATTTTCTCCTCCCCTGCACACTGGAGTATAACAATAGACTGTGAATAGAGCAAATCAGAAAGACACACAAACTAGTATAAGGGGCCCATTGTTTTTAGTTTGTAGCCCTGTCATATGGTTTTAATTTATGTTGGCTGATTGATTATAATAGACTGACAGATAGCACATTGTTCCTCTCTTGGAATCTCTAGACACTTTAATATTCCTATTCTTATCTGTCCATTTTGATTCCAAAACTTAGCGAAATGGAATTACAGCATTCACTTTGTTTTCCTGTGCTAAATGATTATCTCTGAAGTGCAATTTTATGATTAGGCAAGATGGTATGCATACATTCAGCTAATGCTGTTTCCCCCAGGGTGCAGCACAGGTAAATTCATAGTGAGTGGATGTTGTGCTGTGATTTCAAATGGATGTAAAACTTCACCACACTTGGTAGCTTTATTTTTAAAATGTATTTAATTGTTTTTAAATTAACAGGAGAATATTAAAATTGAACTTTAGAAAATGGCATTTAAACATAAGTCAAGGGCGCTAACTGCTTATGAATGTTAATCCCTTATGAAAAGTGAATAACAAACTTACCTGGCATAAATTAGCAGAGGTGGTCATTGAAAATCTTCTGTTTAATTATTTATATTCTTCCTGATTAATTTTTTAAAAAATCTGAATGCCTCTTGGTATTAGTTTTGTCAGATTCTAATGTTCCTTATTTTGAAAATTGTTTAATGAATTGCTGTCATGTTATTAGTATTGTTTGGTGCTGAGGGGTGACATTTGGGAGCGGGGAATGGAGAAGCCAGGAGTTAATGGTTGGCACAAAGTACTTTCTTTAACTATTTTCTTTGATGTTTTAAAAACTAAAATTTTCAATGAGTCTGAGAGACAAACTTTAAGGAGGATTTAGCATTCCAAAAATTAAACACATTTTGTCAAACCACAAAAGTAGATTATTGGTACCCAAACAGTACCTTGTTACTGATTTATGTAGAATAAACATTGACTGTATATTGTGAATCTTGAAGTCAGAAACATAATACGCAACTTCTCAAACTTAATTCAATTGCAATTTTTTTTATTAGTAATATTAACACTAGTCAGGACTCTGCGTGGACAGTGCGAGTATATGGTTATTTGGCTACAGTTTTTTGAGCAGCTACTTCCTCCCACACTTATCACATTGTTCAGTGTACAGTTAGAGCTTAATCGTAGTTATGCTGGTTATTTTCATTATCTTTGCAATTGAATAAAAATCATAACTTTAATAAGTTGATAGGTGATTTCAATAATAGAGCACATTCATTTGGAGCAAAGTACTTTTACTCAAGATTCAAGGAAAAACCAACCCATTCACATTTTAATCTTCTATGATCATCCAGTTATATGTTCTGTGACCTACCAGAAATACTCTTTCTGGTAGAACGGATTCACTTTACTGCATGTTCTATTATCATTTATCCTGATGGATGTGATACCCTCAGTGTTGTCCTTATAATTTTGGACGTGTGTGTAGCAGAGATGAATCCCTCCATTTTCAGCCTTTACTCTGTCACACCTTGTGGACTTGAGTTAACACAGTAAATACTTCACAAGTACGTTCAATGAGTGATTTGTTCACCCATAATCTGCTATCCAGATACCAACAGGGAAACTACAAATGTTTATTCCCTGCCTAGTGGGGCTATTGGATCCAACTCTTCGGGGAGAGTTAGGAAAGATAAGATGAACACTGATAATGATGAATAAGACAGTGTATTGAGGGCTAAAACACCCGTGGATTGTAGTTCTATTTAGTATCTGTGTAACTTAGGCCAAATTTTGTAACTTCTTTGAACCTTAGAAGTTGTTTCATAATTACTGTGGGGGTTTTTGTTTGTTTTTATCTGTCCTTCTTGATAGTCTGGTGGGCTCTCTGAAGATGTCTTACTTATCTTTACATCTGTATCCCCGGCATTGTGACATTGGCAGCTTTGAAGGTGCTTAACAAATGTGTGTTTAAAAAAGGAAGGCAAGAAGACAGGAGGAGCGAGAGAGAGAGGAAGGCAGAATAGAAGGATATCGTCAAGGCATCAATTTGCCCCCAGATTCTCTTTGAATAACACGTTATGAAATCAAGGGCACATGGTTCTTCTCTAACGTTAATGGAAGTTTAAAGTTTAAGGGCCTGGAGAAGTCACCATCAGTCAGACCTTCCCGTTTTATGTCTGAGAAACTGAGGGTCATGATGATTAAGTTGGGTGTCACTCAGGTGATGGCAGAGTTTCAGCTGGCTCTTCTCACCCCCACAGCCATACTCTCTACACTATACCCAACAGCCTCAGCATCAGGCTATGTGTGCAAGTGGGTCTAAAAGATATACCCCTACTCATTAGCATTTTGGGAAAACAGGCTGCCTTTCATTTTCAATTCTTTATACCTTTTTATTTCTTGATTTGAACAACAACAAAAACTGAGCCATTTTTATAACACAATAAAAAGTATCACATGGAAAAGTAAATTAAAAACAAAACAAAACAATGAATGTCAATATTCTGCACGAGTACCATATAGAATAAATACCAATAAGCAATAACAAAAAAGTACCCTACAGCATGAATATCATTTGCTAAAGTATAATTTTCAAAGAATGGACTTTAATTCACCAGTGTGTGTATTAAATCGCTGTTTGGCATATTGGTGAAGAGGCTGCTTGGTTATTTTTAGGTCAGGATTTAAATGGTTGGCTATATTGCCTAAGAATTCAAACAACTCTTATCCCCCCAAGAAAAGGCTACTCAGATTTCTTATCTTCCAGTTGTGCTCTGCCCTCTAATGTATCCCTTCATGGTCATACTCAGGTGCACCATCTTCTCATCTGTCTAAACTCAATTCATCAAAATTTTTTCTTTGGATTAGTATTACTTATACCTTTCTGGTTCATTTACGGGAAAGAAAAAGCAAATATTTTTAAGTACCATCAGGTATTTGTAAATCAAGTTGAGTTACCCTTTCATGCATGCCTTCTTCTAGCATTTTGGCTAATTTCACAGTGGCCTGACACTTCGGCAATCAGGAAGAAAGGAGGGAGAGTTGCTATGGCACCACTTGTGAAGTTATGGTTGGGAAGAATGGAGTCTCATGGGTAAAAGCCAAGCAGTGTTGCATTTTATCTTTCCTAACTTTGACTAGAGAGTTATATTCATACTTGCATATTAATTGTCTTGCATACTAATTATCAACAGGTCAGGGTATTCATTCAACTTATTTTTCAACATTATATATTTACAGCTTCTGCCACCTTTGAAGACTTTCAGATTCGTCCCCATGCGCTTTTCGTTCATTCGTACAGAGCTCCGGCTTTCTGTGATCACTGTGGAGAAATGCTGTGGGGGCTGGTCCGTCAAGGCCTTAAATGTGAAGGTAAGGGACTTCCTTCCCCAGCCAGCTGCATACGTGCTGGAGTTATCAGCTTATATTGTGCCCGCTACAATAATGTCTTCTTTCCCTCAGATGTCTTCCAGGGACTTGGTGGGTGCATAGATTCTGTTCAATTCTTTACATTTCCTGTCTTCAGCATATATGCTCTGATCTGGAAAACCCGATTCTCAAATATTTTCCCCTAAATCATGTGGCTATAGTTCTTTAGTGTTGATTATTTTGGCAACAGACTAAAAATAAAATTTGCATCTTAATCCCGATCTTGGAATAGTAGGCATTCAAGAAATGTTTGTTGAAATGAGCCGTTGAGATAAGCAGAGAGTCCAGAGGTTAATCAAACCATCCAAGGTCACTCAGCTGTTGAGTGGCAAACTCGAACTTGTACCCACATTTCTACACCAATATTATAGTTTTATCAGCCTTTGTGGAAAGAACCCCTTGAACTGTGGAGTCAGAATTCAAATCAGTGTAGGTCAAATGTTGTGATGCACTGTGATTGATTTTCCCTATGTGTCCACTCACATTAGAACTTGAGATAGTGAAAAATGGCTCAGATCACCTCTTTGGAGTTTGTTTGCTAGATCTTTCAAAGCCCAAGTCTGTTATATCAGAGGATATTTTTTAAGATGATATACATGGCAGTTGCTGAGCTTGTCCAATAAAATAAAAATTCAGAACCTAGATTATTTAGATTGGGAGCAAAAAATCAGAAAAAGCTCAAAAAAAATTAGAATTTCCACATAGTCCCAAGAGAAATGGAAGCAGTGCTATTTTTTTTAAATGCAAAATTTACAACTGATAATAGAATAGCTTTTAATTTACAGTAGAACAAAATTCGTTTTTATTTTCTTCTTCCAGGATGTGGTCTGAATTACCATAAGAGATGTGCATTTAAAATCCCCAACAACTGCAGTGGCGTGAGGCGAAGACGACTCTCCAATGTCTCCCTCACCGGGCTCAGCACTGTCCGCACAGCATCTGCCGAGCTTTCGACCAGCGTCCCCGATGAGCCCCTCCTGGTAGGGCTTTCTGTTTATCCATTTCCCCATTTATATGAGAAATCTGGGGAGGGGGGGGCGATGCAAAAACCGTGCCAATCCAAGACAGTGCCCTGGGAGGGAGGTCACAGCCAGAGTGTTAATGAGTGTTTCTTCAGGGACTGTGCTGTAGACTGGTCAGTGCTTCATCAAATATCCAACAGCCTTGAGTTTGCTTTTATGTGTGAGGTTAATGCAGTTATAAAATATGTGAGGCTTCGTCGTGGTCATAGGGCCAAAGCAGCACAAACTAATGTGTGAATGTTGCAAAACAGAATTGGTCAAAATTTGAAAACTGGAGATAAAAGATGTTTTTCTCTGAAGATTATTAAAGTACTTTGTGTCATAGCTGAACATTTACTCTGGGAGAAAGTTTGAAATTTGCTCTTAATGGAAATATGAAATTCTTTAATTGTTTGGCAGTACTGCCATACATCCTGGTGTATGGTCAGAGTGACACTATTGACAAATGCTGTGAGAAAAATAGCACTTAATACTTTAAATAGTTCCATTAGCCTTAAAATATATATTTTCTCAACACAGCTTAAATATAAAAATTAAATTTAGAATTTAGTTTTACCAAAGTAAAAATTTGGGTAATTATGTCAATTATATAAAATAAGAACATTTTTCTAAAATAAGCTAATGGCATGAGGCTTTAAATTTTCCGTATTTGCTCTCTCCCCCAATGGATATTACAAAGACTTTTTATAATCCAGCTATTGTACAAGTCAATTAAAGAAAAAAATTTTAAACTTCTAAAACTTTTAGGTTAAATAAATCCTTCTTAAAGTGCAAAGGCGCAATACATTTTGAAGACACCCCTAAAAAGTTGTAGTAATTAGTTCATTGTTTGGAAAATATTTTATTGTGATCTTTATATCACTTTAATTTGTTACAGCATAAGCCAGATATAACTCAAATGAATGCTCATTTTAATAAGTAAGAAAATTCCATACTCTGTTTTTCCATGACTTTCTTTTGGGAGTTTCTTGTGTTTTCAGACCTTCACCAAGTGAACCTGTTTGGGGAAGGCAGTTACTAAATTCCACCAATCACTAGAAAAATATGTTATATTTTGGTAACTATTCAGAATGTATGTATGTGATTATATATTATTCTATAAAGTTGCATTAATTGGAATTAGTGATGTCCTTGCTGAAAAGTGCTTAAATCAAAAGCTGTTGTTTATTATTTAAATAACTGTCATGTTATCTTCCCTACTCTGAAGTTCCTTGGTTGAGTTTGAATTTTTGTAAGTAGTGATTTTACAAGTTACAGCAGTTACTCTTTCTTTTAAGAATAGACACTGAGAGTCATACTGTTTACAGGACAAACATTTAAAAAGAAGTTTAATAAACAAAATTATAAATTAATCATGTATCATTTTTAGTTTTACTAGAAAAGTTTTTTTTTAATTATTTAACATCTCACAAGAAATATAAAGCTCTAAAGTCATTTGTCATTAGAATACATTAGGATCTAAATAGTTAATACTGAAGATTCTTTTAAATCTATCTGACCGTTTTGTAATATATACATATGTATGTATAAACATATATACACACATATTACGCACTTAAAAACATCACATATATAATTTAGATTTTATAAGTACAAATTAAATTCTATATTTAAATTATGTACATGCAAATATGTATAAATTTATAATTTACATATAAATATAGTTTAGGTTGCATAACTGTAGTCTTTAAAAAAGCTTTTGTGTTTTTAAACCAAATTATTTAATTGCTTTATGTAACCAAAATAAATATTTAATTATTTGAGTTTCTTGATTACATGCTATATTTTACACCACTTATTTATTTCATTAGTGCTTTAATGTCAAATGGAAATTTTTGTAGTAGAATGCTTAAAAATGTATTTATTTTTAAAATATATTTTTAAAAATCAGATTTTAACCATGTGTTTCAAGAAAGCTTGTAAAATTGTGATCAAATCAGACATTTTTGAGAAAATATTGAGGCCATAGATACTTTGAAAAATATTATCATAAATTTTTATAACCTTGTATAAAATGCCCTACAGGTAACCTCTAAATGAGAAATGCCTTTGGGAATAATATTTGTGACACTGACACACTGGCTCTCAAAATTGTTTTACATGTAAAACCCTTTGTGCTCTCCTGGGGTGCCTATGTGTCTATTTTTATCCAATTCTTGAGAAAAGAAACAACATGGACCCACCTTGAGGAGGGCACATACTTCCCAATTACCCTGGGTCGTTTAGGGCAAAACCACCCTGCTTTACCCAGGCATGCTTTGAATACAACAAATATATCTCTTTTCAGCCCTGGGCAAGACATAAAAGGCCAGTAACTATAGTTTAAAATTTGCTGTGAATGACTAGTCAATTGGTAATATTATGCCAATAATAGTGAAACCTTTTAGTTCTATATACAATAAAGGATATTTTTCATTTCTGAAAAGGTTAATGGCATTGTTTATTAATACCACTAGATCAGCCTTGTTGTAAGTCTGCCATGATAAGTGTATAAATTTTTCTCTCAAATGTAAGAAAATGAGTTTTTTCTTCCATACTTTATTGCCTATTTTGACTACAAAATCACCATTTTACATACAGATTAAGACATTGGTAATTCCATTAACTTACCTATTTTGGCATGTAAATTTAATTTCAGATTCCTATCATGCTGCTAAGGTAGAAAAAAAGGATCACAATAAATCATATGACAAGTTTTGTGTATCAACTTTGACAGGAAACTAGATTCATTATACCAACGATAAACTATTTCACCTTTTAAAAAAATCCAAACTGTAGTCAATTTATGTCAAATGGCTAAGTGGAGGCGTATATCTTTTTGTAAATCATCACTAGTATCAGAAAGAAACAAGAAAAACTCAATAGATTCTTAGATCAGACACACTAAGATATTGTATCATTACATATACCTATACGTATTAAGAGTATATCAATTTTATAGACTTTTAGACAACTGCAGAAGTCAGGATTAAATGATCCCATCATTTCTCTGTGCTTTACTCATCTTTTATTTTTATTTACACATGTTCTTATGGTATTTGGGAAAAGTTAAAGCCATTTCAAACCATATTATGCAAGAGTTAGCCTTAGACAAAGAGTTGGTAACCGTGTTCCAGAACTTTTGCTTCTAGCGATGAAGAAGCTCGTATCAGGTCAACTCTCCTGCAAGAGACATTTATAAAAGCCTACTAAACTGCAACAGAACCGAATAAAACAACATATGAAGGTAGCCAAGAGCACCCAAGGCAATCAGGATTTCAAGGGCCAATGCCTCAGAAAGAGGGAAACCACAGAGAGGTCAATGCACAGGACAGCTCCTACAACAACAAATATTGGGCTCAACATGTCACTAGTGCTGATTGTGACAACCCCTGATCTACACCAAAGCTGGAGAATCCCCATACATTTTACAAAGCCACAGTTGAGACAGTGTGATATTACACAAGATTTAAGTATTAAGACAATGTGGCTTTGCACAAAAACAGAAAAATAAACCAATGAAATAAGACAGAGAGAGTCCAGAAACTACGTGGTTATACAAGCCAACTGAATTATGACAGGGATACCCCCACTGTGAGAATAGGATGGTCTTTTCAACCAATTATTTCCGGAACCAATAGAAAAATATCTATAAGAATTTGGAACAGGAAAAGCTTTTCTTAAAGAGGACTCAAATCGCTTTTGACGAGGGGAAAAGATTGATAAATTAGACATTATTAAAATTAGGAAATTATTTTAATCAAAATATACCATTAAATAATGAAACAGCAAGTCACAGAATGGGAGGAGATATTTTCAATGTATATGTCCTATGAAAGACTAGTCTGGAATGTATAAAGAACATCTATAAAAAAAGTTAGAAGACAGACATACTGTATAGGCAAAATACTTGAATTATTTACTTAAAAAAGATAGATAATATATTTACATCATTAGTTATCAAGGAGCCTAAAGTTAAATCTACAGTGAGATATATCTACAACAAAATGTCTAATGCTGGAAAAATAAAATAAAATAACAAAACTGAAAATAACAAGTATTGATGAAGATATTGACCTACTGGAATTCGTATACACTATTACTGGGAATGTAAATTGATTCAACTTTGGGAAACTGCTTTTTCAAGTTTATCTTCTGGCAGTTATCTTATGAAACTGAATATATGCATATCATGTGACTTAGCAGTGCTGCTCCTAGGTATATAGTCAACAGAAGTGTGTATAGACTTGCACAGAAAGGTGTGTACAAGCGTTTGTTTTATTTGGGGGATTTTTTATGTTTAAAGATTTAATGTTTTAAAGCAGTGTTAGGCTCACAGAAAAATTGAGAGGGAGGTACACAGATGTCCCACATATTCCCTGCCCTCACACATGCACAGCTTCCCCCAGTATCAACATTACTCACCAGAGTGAGACATTTGTTACCACTGGTGAACCCACATTGACATATCATAGTCACCCAAAGTCATGCTGTACTTTAGGGATCACTTTTGGTGTTATACATTTTATGGGCTTGGACAAATGTATAATGATAAGTATTCATTATTATGGTATCATATAGAGTATTTTCACTGCCCTAAAAATCCTCTGTGCTTTGCCTATTCATCCCTCCTTCCCCTCCACTCAACCCCTGGTAACCTCTGATCTCTTTATTGTTTCCATAGTTTTGCCTTTTCAGATTCATACCTTTCACGTAATAATATGCATTTAAGGTCTCTCCAGGTCTGTTCATGACTTAGAAGCATGTTTCTATTTAGCGTGGATTAATTTTCCATTGTTGGAAACCAAAATTTATACATTCACCTACTGAAAAATGTATTGGTTGCTTTCAAGTTTGGGTAATTATGAGTAAGGCTCCTATAAACATCTCAGTGCAGATTTTTGCATGGACAGAAGTTTTCAACAACTTTGAATAAGTATCAAAAGACATGATTGATGATTTTATGATAAGAGTATGCT